GAAGGAGCGGCTATAAAAAGAAAGAGCTTGTTCCAAACAACTGCCTCCCGCTGACAGCCCTCCTCCCGCCACCGTCGGCGCCTGCACCTACTCCTAGAACCCGCCGAAAACTAGCTTCTCGTCACCCTTTCCAGTTGCAATGGCCACTTGCTCGGACAGCACCGAATTACCTACTGAGGTCATTCCCCTACACCCTCATTGCGGCATGGAACGACATTCCTGAGCAAGTCATCCCGGAACCTCATGCATCGAAGGGAATGTAGGCCTTCAAGTCTCGCATTTGTCAGCACCTGATGCGCCAGGATTGGTTATGGGCAACAGCATTCCATGGCTAAATTTGACGATGTTCTATTCTCCAGTCCCACCACGATCACCTTGCTCCCTAGAGCTCTCGAAACACCTCAGTGCAGAATGTTTTGCGTTTTTTTATTTATTTTTTTACTAGAGCCACGTAAACCCGTCATGTGTGAGCCATGAATAAGGGGAGTGGTGGCGTGGTCTGGGATGCTCTGCCGACCTTGGGTCTCGGCTTCATCACAACCAGGCGCGCCAATAGCAGAGAGAGAAAGAGAGAGAGAGAGAGAGAGAGAGAGAGAGAGAGAGAGAGAGAGAGAGAGAGAGAGAGAGAGAGAGAGAGAGAGACATAGACAGAGAGAGAGAGAGAGAGAGAGAGAGAGAGAGAGACAGAGAGAGATAGAGAGAGAGATAGAGATAGAGATAGATAGATAGAGAGATAGAGAGAGAGAGAGAGAGAGAGAGAGAGAGAGAGAGAGAGAGAGAGAGAGAGAGAGAGAGAGACAGAGAGACAGAGAGAGAGAGAGACAGAGAGAGAGAAAGAGAGAGAGAGAGAGAGAGAAAGAGAGAGCGTTAATGTTTCTTTCTTCTCTTCTTTCCTTTTTGCTGCTTTTCGTGGCCCCTTTCTCGCTGATCCAGTGCCTGCACACTACTCTGCCTGGCAGCAGCTCCGATCTAACTTCTCCGTATTGCCCCCCCCCCCCCACTGAAAGCAACGCAGCTGTTGGTTCATTGCCATAGTTTTCTGAACTAATCTGGCACTCACTCACCCTCCCTCACTCACCCGCCCCCCCCCCCCCCACTCTCTCTTCCTCTCTCTCTCTCTCTCTCTCTCTCTCTCTCTCTCTCTCTCTCTCTCTCTCTCTCTCTCTCTCTCTCTCTCTCTCTCTCTCTCTCTCTCTCTCTCTCTCTCTCTCTCTCTCTCTCTCTCTCTCTCTCTCTCTCTCTCTCTCTCTCTCTCCATCATTGTCTGGCTCTCAGGTTCTCACTCTTCACACATAGTCTTTCTTCTCTCCCTTTCCCCCATGGTGCGTGGTGTGCGCCTTGATCCTGAGACCATTGATCGGGGGAGCGCACTTCACCTAACCGGCACAGCTCAATATCACCTACACGCCCTTTGTAGTCCCCTATGTTCTCTTGATGTTGTTGTTGTTGTTGTTGTTGTTGTTGTTGTTGTTGTTGTTCTCTTCCATTCTATGTAGGCATGTGCACTTTCATAAAAAAAAATCGTCTCCCAGGAACTGGCCTCACGTGAGCTGTTTCAGATGAAGACATTTTTCACAGAGTAGAAGCAGTGACAGCTTGTCTGCAGGCAGGAATACCACTTCCCTTGATATTCTTCCAGCATCCAAATGGTCACCAGCAATAATGGTTTCACCTCTCACTACATGGATAAGCAAGGGAAAAGATTTGATACACCCACTATTCAGCCACAGCCCTGCATCAAAGTTGCAATGGAGAGCAGCCAATGGAGACTCGATCATGTCTTATAGTGCTAAGAAGTGGTGGAGCTCGTGAGAGATATTGTAGCCGCTTCACTCCTCATCAATCCCTACTTCTCTTTGTACATACATCTACATCTACTGTTCTTTCAATCAAATGAACCCCTCGATAGGCACATTGCCTTTGGGTCATTTCATAATAATAATAATAATTGTAGCAGTTGCTCTTGTAGCAGTTGAGCACTCTTGCGTGGGGTAGTGCCTTTGCTGTTTGCGTTATGCAGAGCTCACTGACTTGTCAGTTTGAGCACTCTGGCAAGGTACGTTCGGGCCTGATTGGAAATTTTTATTTTCATTGCTATCAGGTTCGGCCTCATTTTCTCTGTGCTGCGCTGATGAGTTCAAAAAGAACGAAACAGCATGCTGTCCGCAGATAGAGTAATAATAATAATAATAATGATACGGATCGACTAAATGCATCCTTTCCTGGAAGTTTGACAATGCGCAGCCTTTCTTCCATTTTTTGTTCCAAACCCAGCGCATTACAGCCCTTGTTGAAGCATTATAATCAGCATTGCAAGGTAGTATTTGGAGTATTATGATTAGCATTATATACGAACATTTTCGGAGCATTATCCGCTGGACCCTAGCCTTGAGGGAAGGTGAGCGCAGCGAAAATGTGCCCAAGCTAAGTCCCACGACGACAAAAAAAGACCAAAAAGTAGGGATTTACTGGCCTGACAAAGCCACTCATAGCTGTGTGCATGTGGTGTAGACCAGGCTGATTAATGGCGGTCAATTCTTCAGCCTTGCAAGCTGTTGAATGGTGCAATCCCAGCGCAAGTAAGTTGCTATGGCTTCTGGTGTAGCATCCCTATCATCGCCTCCGGCAATGGGCGTCAAAATTAATGGTCAAATGGTGTGTTTAGGTGAGATAGTGCAGGAGTATGGAGTGTGTTTTGAGCGAGAGGCGGTGTGTGTGTGTGTGTGTGTGTGTGTGTTGTTGTTGTTGTTGTTGTTGTAGAAGTTTATTTAACGTCGCACCACAAACAGGCGATTTCGCCTCCTTTGATACATGTGGAAGACAGAAGAAATGAGAGAGAGGGGGGGGGGGGGGGGACAGAAGTATGGAGAGAGGAAGGGTAGAAATAAATAAGCAATCAACCTCAGGGCTACACCAAAGCAAAAATGGAATGGGAACATACTATATACAAAATAGCTTCATACATATATTGCAAAACACGTGTACTATTCTTCAGTCCGCTATACCACAGAAACACACTAGCCGAAAAGCATTTAAACGGAGCCATGATGCGCTTTTAGCAGGGCACAGAACGTGTGTGTGTGTGTGTGTGTGTGTGTGTGTGTGTGTGTGTGTGTGTGTGTGTGTGTGTGTGTGTGTGTGTGTGTGTGTGTGTGTGTGTGTGTGTGTGTGTGTGTGTGTGTGTGTGTGTGTGTGTGTGTGTGTGTGTGTGT